GCCGACAGTCAGAGAAGAGGCGTCGAAAGAGGCTTCCCAAAGACCTCAAAGTGCTTGCAAGCGCCTCGCCTGCCTCGATGTGGCTTCCCAGCCTGCCGTGTCTGTGGCGGCTATTGATGCAGCAGCCAGACTGGTGGCACAGCTCGTTCCCAAGTACAGCACTGTGTCCACGGTGCACTGCTCGCATGCAACCTGGCCGGGCACGTGACACAACGTTGACAAGCACGGCCGATGCTGGCTGACCCTTGGCAACGCACATCCAATCCAGAAGCTTGGCCTTCTAAGTGCTCTGTCTAGAATTCAAGCCGTGCTGGGTGCAGCCATGCTGCAATGAGCTTCTCATTGGCGAGCTGCTGCAGAGTGTTGCTCTTGAGCGCCTCAATTTTGCTCCAGGTGCTCCCTGAATGGCTCTTGGTGCGGGGAATGATTTGAGTTGCAAAAACAAGAGTGCAGGAGCCAGCAGCAGTGCGAGAACGCGGCGGGTCTGATGTCAACTGGCTAGCGCGAGCCCCAAGCCTATGAGAACTCCTTACTTCTGTGCAAGCTTAAACTCTCCCTTGCGTAGAGCCCCACGGAAGGGTCCAACACGCGCCGCTGCGCAGTGATTCAAACGCGGCCCCAACGCTTTACTTCCCGACATCTTCTGTGTTTGAGGCTATGTTTTCGTTGTCAGCGATGGCATCACCAGCCAATCGGTGTTCATACCGTTGATGTTTGATGCTCTGAAATTGGAAAGCTCAGCAAGGGTCCTGATCATGCTGCGAATGATGATGATGATGCTGATGATGTGTGTGATGCTAGTGATGCCAGTGATGCTAACAATGCGGTCGATGCTTGTATTGCTGATGCCTGTGATGCTAATAATATCTGTGATGCTAGTAACGCTGATGATGCTGACAATGTGATGCTACTGATGCTACTGATGCTACTGATGCTGTTGATGCTGGTGATGTGATGATGCTGTCAACTCTGGTGATGCGGGCGATGCGGGTGATGCGGGTGATGCTGATGATGTTGGTGATGCGGGTGATGCGGGTGATGCGGGTGATGCGGGTGATGCGGGTGATGCGGGTGATGCGGGTGATGCGGGTGATGCGGGTGATGCGGGTGATACTGATGATACCAATACTCAAGGTCTAATTTCTTGGCTACGATGGTTCTGGCGATCACCATGTTTGCATTCTCTCATGGCTGAGGCCCCCACAGTCACAGGCGAGACGTAGACTTCAAAATTGCTGCCGCCAAGAGTGTAGCTGAGGCCATCGATGCCATCCAAGTCAATGCATAGCTCAAACCTAAGAAAAGGCAGAGTTCATCGACTCAAATAGACTTGAACACACAAGCTTATTCTTGAACTGGGGCTCAGGCGTTGCCCCTGGCTGCAAGAGAGTGGCATCCACATCTGCAACCCACTCGTTCTCCAGAAAGCCAGGAAGCCTAGGCGAGCGGCAGTTGGGACTTCCGCAATCGTGCTAGATCCTTCTGGCAACTCCTCAGTTTTGCCTGCCCGTGCGGATTTCCCATTTCCAGTTTTCTATGTAGCCTTCTCAACAAAGGGAAACCTGAACCAAATGTGCGCCGCAACACCCTCTGCAGGCAAGCCACTGCTGAAGAAGCACGGGCAGAGTTACGTTGTCTGCTGGAGAGGTTGGTGCTGAATCGCAGCTTTCAGCCAAATGCACCTCGCATGAAAGGCTTTGCAAACGAGGAATCATGCCAAAGGATCTCAGAACAGTGACTGGCCTGTGAGGTCACATTGCAGGACGCAGCACAAGTCACCACCAGCGTCTGACCTGCATCGCGCCCGGACTCAGGGGCAAGCGGCAAAACATCCAGCAGCACCAGTTGCCTGTGGTTGCCACCAGACCGGAGGAGGCTTCCAGCACGCGGTAGGGCACGCGTACGGCTGAGATGGGGGAGGTGAAGACTGTCAAGCCCGTGTCGCCAAAAGCCTGCTCAAGATACCTCAGATCTACAACATCTGGCGACAACTCCCATGAGCCCAGTCAAACCAGTTGTTTTTGATAAGTGGCATGCCATCCAGATCTGCACAAATGCGGTAGAAGAGGCCGAAAGTGTGAATGTCTACACCTCAGCCCAGCATGTGTCCGTGTCTTTTTCGTTTGCTCAGCTGAGTGGGCGACTGGTGCGCAGTGGCACTTCCCACAAGTCGCCCTGGAGGAAAGCAGCGGCTGCAGTGCGATCAGTAGCTTCTGCCCTTGGGCATCAAACATGCACAATGCCCCAGGAGAGCAGCAGAAGGCATTGGTCATAGATGACAAGCATGCAAGACATGCTGCCCAGCTGCATGGCTCCGTTCACCACCCAGACATCATCGCAGGAGTTGTGCGTGGTGATGTAGGCGGTGCTCAATACCTTGAATGTGGCTTCCAGAAGACAATGGGCCGTGCACAAAGGCTTCATGGGGCAAAGGCAATTTTTACACGCACACTTCGCTTCAGGCGGTTTTGTCTGGAGCTTCCACGCGGCTCCATGTTGCTTTCCTTTTCATTCAGCGTGACCTGACGCCGGTAAGGAATTCTTCCCCGGACCAAAAACGGCTTTGATGCCACGGTGCTGAGCAGCTGGGGCACACAAGTCGCAGCAGGCTGAGCCCGGGCCCCACGGTGGAGCGGGGAGCCTTCTCCACGACACCCGTCACCTCCGATCTGAACGCGAGAAAAGCCCCCAGACTTCTTTCTTGGGAAGGTTACTGGCAGCATCAACATCTCGCGCGAACCTCAATGACTATGAACATGAGTCAGACTGGGAAGCCTGCCTAGAGTCCTGCTTTGTAAAGTGGAGCATCACTTGTCGCCTTACATGCTGTCGAAGCAGCATAGAGGGTCAGCCCGGTATCGCCGTAGGATTGATTGCCCGCGCCGTCAAGGTCGGTGCACAGACTGGCAGCAAGCAATAGCCCATCTCAAGGGGTGTCCGTTTTTGAGGGTACCCTTTTTGGATGGTGTCAAGAGGAAACCAAAAGAAAAACACCTATGAGGGTCCCCTATGTTGAGACGAACCCACACCAGCCCCAAGCCCCTCGCTGCAGTTGCAAACGCTTCTGATGGCTGCAATGACCCACTAGGAACCGGCCTGTAGTGTGAGCCAGGTGTGAGGCTGCTTGCATCCAAAGATAGCTCCCATGCCTTAGAGAAAGCACATGGGGCGGGTCTTTTCTGCAGGCGTTGTTCGCCGCGTTTCAAGCAGCGGAGCCTTCGTCTTGGGAGTCTGCAGCTGGAAGCCGGAGGGATCGGGCGTTTCATGAGATGACGCTTTTGTGATGCTTCTTGTTCGTCAAAGAGTCAGAAAAGAAAGCTGAGAAAGCTCTGTTTTTTGGCTGTGGTTCAAACCAATTGTTATTTTTGTGGGATAGGTGCACCACCCATTTTAGTCTATTTTAGTGGTCCTTGCGCACCGACTGAGCTTCTGAGCTTCCTGCCGAGCCAGCTGGCGCCAGCGTCCCCTCCAATCCCAGGCCCAAGCTGCAGCTGTCGGCCAAGATGGCCCGCGAGACGCCGCTGCAGCCTGGCTCCACGGACGGACCCATTGACCCAAAATCTGAGTGAAACGGCGAATCGGTGCTTGGAATCTCGGGTGCGCATGGTTCGAAGCGGGTTCGCTTGCGAAGGTGTCTGGTCTTTCACCTAAGGCTGATACTACGAATACTGCTCATTTACCCCTGGCTCGCGCTTTGCTTGTACCTTTGCCCTCAACAGCTGGCAGAAAGTGCGCTAAAGCGCGTGCACACTTGCGTGGAAACGGGCCGAAATGTCGAAGGCTCGAAACCAGCGGACTGGCAAAGCTGGTGACACAGGTGCGGTGTTTCAAAGGTTCTTGGGCCGCCCAGTATCAGCATTTAAGGCTCGGCGGGCAAAGCGTGCGTCTTGATTTGGATTGGACACATGCCAAAAAATTGGCTTTAGCATCTACAAACCGACGAGAGCGGTTGATGTAGACAGGGGCAAGCCCAGGATATGCGGGGGGCAAGCATCAACATGCTGGAAGATGGGAGACGGATTCTTTCAATGTAAAAGGACGAGCAAATGTGCTTGATGCAGGATTGTGAGTTGTCTCGGATATGAGCCATGTTTGGAGGAAAGGGAAGTGGAGAATGGCGCAAAGCTTCATGCCAACTTTCACTCCCATCTGTGCCTGCCTTCAGCACAAGTGATGCCAACCGCTTGGCCCGAGAACGGCTGCACCGAAGGCGGGTAAAGCGAGGTAATCCCAGTGACGTAGATCCTGACCAACTCAAACAAAAAAAATCCAGCAGGGCCTCGAAAATTTATCGTGCCGCATCACCTAGCCCTTAGCTCAACTCTCCCCGCTCTCGCCAAGATGCAATGTGCTCCAAACATTGCCCGGACGGAGGTCACTGCTGTTGCCACCATCCAAGTCCAGGCAAAGCTGATAACTTTCACCTTAAGAAACCAGGCTCCAAAGAGGTCCGCATGTTTGACTCTCTTGTGCCCGAGTTGCCAGTAGTCAATCCAGATGCATCGATTGGAAGTGTCCATCGTCCACTTCCTCAGTCACTCTAGAGAATTGTATTGTGCACCGCACTCCACTCGCTCGACTCGCGCCTTGAACTAAATTCAAGGCGGGGGTGTGCAGGCTGCTCGTCTCATTGTTACAGTCCTCTCAACACAAGCAGCCCCTTCTTCGGCACTTGCACTCCCCCGACTCTTTGTCCCTCTCTCTGTCCCCGTTTCTCTTTGTCTCCGTCTCTCTCTCTCTCTCTTTCTCTCTCTGCCTGTTTCTGTCTGTCTCACGTTCTCTACCCCCCTTCTCCTCAGCGAGCCACCCCTCTGCTCTCTCCGAGCAGGACGGACAGCGGAAGGTAAGCTCCTCAAGCCATCTCTTGCAATCTTACACGTTCCCACCAATACGAATTGCAGACATCAGCATAGCCCTTGACATGCCGCCCGAAATCCCAAACGCAATGCAGGAGCTGATTTGACCAAATCTCATCTGAAAGGCGTTGGGCTGTCTGTTTTCTGGCTTCCGAGCATGCCTCTGATCCGGAGTCTTGTCAAGAAGCTGCACATTGAAGGCGCTCTCCAAAGAATTACTCCGCGAGCAAAGGTCGGCATCGAACAAAAAATGTGTTGCGACCCAGTTTAACTGCGGTGCACGCTACGAAATAACCTGCACCACTGGCCAGCAATTACTTAGAAAAGGGGAACACGCACTAAAGCCAGTCTATCCAACTGTGAAACAACCCTTGGCTGTTCTGGTTGGAGGTCGCTCGTGGACATCTTCCTGGCCTGAAAATCACGTCACTGAGCATGGAAGAGCTAAACTGTCTTTGTTGTAAAGGCAGGCTGTACATGGTTGGTTTGAGTCTCAAACCGAACTGATGTGTATCTCTGAAAATTCCTCTTGAACAGCGTCTGTACACTGCTCTTGAACAGCTTCGGCGAGCATCTCCTGCATGTCAAAGGCCAAAGTCGCGGCACCCGTGGTAAAGTCCGGGCAGGACAAGCTCCGCTTCTTGTGCACAGGGGGGCAAGGCATTTCGTCCGACAAGGCGTGGCCCACCGCCAGCTGAGGGCTCGAAAAGTGCCGCTTCTCCATCCGATCCACAAAGTCCTCCTCGTTCTTCGTGAGGCGACGGTTGAAGCGCCGCTCCTCCTCCACCGTGGAGACGCTGCGGCCTTTGGAGTCGCAGCCAGGGCACACGATGGCATCGCCAGGAAGTGTAAAGATCTGCTGGTGCACGCTGCGGTAGAGCTGCCGGGCATCCCCCTGATCAGTCTGGCCGCAGCCGCGGATCAGCAGCGAATTCCCGGTGAAGGCAAAGGTCGCCGTGCGCGTGCGCAGCACATAGGTCACGCACCCCGGGGTGTGGCCGGGTGTCTCCCGCACTTCCAGCTGCAGCAGGCCCAGGTTGATGCGCTGGCCGTGGCTTACCTGCACATCGGCATCCGCACCGGAGGCTTGAGAGATGACGGTGCACAGCCCCGGCTGCGTCTGCCGCAGGAGGCTGCTCGTGGTGCCATACTCCGCGTGGGCGTGCGTGTTCAGCACATACTTCAGGCTGAGTCCCATGCTTCGCAGCAAGGCCAAGTCCCGGTCCACCTTCCGCTCCACGGGATCGATGAGCAAGGCTTGCAGGGTCACTTGGCAAGCGATGACGTACGTCAACCTGGTGGTGTCGTCGTCATAGAGTTGAATCACTTCCGGGCTGCGAGCGATCAAAGGCTCCACCTTGCCCACCTCGGGCAGCTGATTCTCCAGCCACTGCTTTGTTTCAGACCTTACGGTGTAGAACTCCAGGTCATGCAGCAGCTGGTTCACAGAAGCCTTGCTGTAGCCGTACCGAAGCGCCATCCAAAGCAGCAGCGCGACTGCGGCGCGGTTCGCGCTGCTGCACTGGATCATCAAAGGTCGTGGCATCTTGGTAATGGCGGCAAACATCTTGTGCATCGCACCTATGGAACTATCCTTGCCGGGTTTGAAGGGCACCAATTTCAGATTTGAGCCTCGATCCCGGATGCACTCCGGCATGAACCACCGGTCCTGCTCCGGCTCAATGTAGAGCCAGCCCTTACAGTACCCTGCCAGCTTGTCAACAACATCCCTGGGCAGGTTGCCGCTGACGAGCACATCTCCCGGGAGGCAAGGCAGGCGCACAGGATGCTGCTGCTCCATGGCTGCCAAACCAGCAAGTGGCTTGACAGATTTCATCGGCATCATCTGCGCACTGCTGGAGCAACCCATGGCCTATGGTGCAGCGGAATGCGCAGGGCAATGAGCTAGGCAGAGCTTTTGAGACCCACAAATGGCTCGAGCGAGCGTTGGGATTTCTGCATTTCGCATGCCCCTGCACCCGTCTCGACTTATCAGGCCCACACCTGTGCTGGCGCGCGCTGCACACTCGGCCAGGGTCCATCGATCTTTGGATGCCCCGGCACCAGCGGCGAGATGAAGACCTGCGCAAAGCGAACACGACGATGCGAAGCGGGCTTCGCAGTCCCCCAACACGTGTGCTGCGCGCCTCCTGAAGGCTATCCACCATGAGAAGAGGGTCAAGACCATCGACGTCAGCACAAACCTTGTAATGACGGCCAGGCTGCAAACCTTGCGTTGCGCGGAATTCAGGATTGGCTTGGAAGAAGATGTGCTTTCCCTACCCCCGACTACCCTCAGCAAACAGGCAAGGCACGGGAAGTGTTCACCGCCACTGTGAAGTCTGTACCACTGCCACTCATGGCAAAGCTGGAAGAATACTCCTCCCCGCTGGCAGACACGATGCCTGGCAGCTGGGCATGTCAGTGGTCTCCCTATGGCTCTAGTCAGCACTTGTGACGACAATGCCCCAACACATTACTATGCTTCCAAGGGAATGTTCCAACATGGTGATTGCATTGCTACTGCAACGTGGTATGCCTTGCTGCTTCCTGCCTCCAAACTTGGAAAAAAGGAAAGAGAACCCCCACCCCCCTCACCCCACCCCGCTGCTTTTTGTATGGCCGTCCTGTGCTGAGGCTGGTGTCACAGCTCTTCGCCAGGTACACCTTCGAGACGGAGGAGCAGGCGCCCTGCGCGGAGCACTGTACACCTCAGCACAGCGGTCTCGCGCAGTTTTCAGGGGCGCAGCCGATGGTTCCTGTGACTTCGGACAGACATCAAACCGCAAGACTTTCTGCGAGAAATCTGGCTGGTGTCCTTCTCAAAAGACAATCTGAGAGTTTTTGGTCGAAACGCTCCAAGGTCAGCTTGCTCGGTCGAAACACTCCAAGGTCGGCTTGCTGGGCTAAAGTGCCGTCAAGCTGCTCAGTACCTGCGCAAGTCAGACAGACATCTCTCTCGCAGCCACGTGTGTCAAGACCTCACAACAACCACCCGCTCGCGCCTCCGCCGGGCCAGGCATCAGCGGCGCAGAGCCCACGGCGACGACGCCGCTCACGGACACGGAGAGCTGCGCATCGCCCCCGCGGAGCCTCGTCTCGTTGCCGTCCTGCGAGAGCTTTCGAGCGCTGCGACTCAAGACTTCGCTCCGGGCCTGGTCTACGCACAGTCGGTAGTCCCGACCTCCGGCCAAATGAGAGGCATCCACGAGTACTTCCCAGAGAGGATGACTCAGGGGCTGGAGAGTCACAGATGCAGTCCTGGTGCAAATGGCACAAACTTCATGTTCAACCCCAGGCGTCACGTCTGTCCTTGATCCCAGGATGGCCTGTACAGAACCGTCTGCAGAAGTGTCGCACACGTCTGACAGGTAGACCTCCGTCGGAATCGTCTCATTGCAGCTCCTCGGAGGCATTTAGCAGAAGTCATCCGTGGGATAGCCGGTGGAAGCAGAAACAAAACCAGTTTTGTATGTGGGGTTGTTCCTTTCATTCATTTTGCATGGGTTAGATTTGCGTTGCATTCAACGCACTGTAGTGAGCGAGGCTAATACGTACATACTTTACACCTGAGAGGCTTACGTGACGCTTGTGGCGTGCCCTTTTTGGTCTCACCCTTCGTCTGAAATCCCCATCCGCAGCCGAGCTTTACCAGGGCATGTGCAAGAGAATTGGGTTGGACGTGCCTGCCCTGCGCGAATGAATTACAATCAAAACCTGGTATGAAAAGGGTCTGTCCGTGACCATGACCATGTAAAGAATGAAAAGGAGGGCGGCCGCACCTTTCTTATGGCCGAAACTGTTCTCTACCCCACCATCTACCCAGGTTCGCACATGCTTCGCAAGTGGTACCACCGTGTCCATCAGTCCAGGGCGAATGCCGGTGCATGGAAATTCTTTTGTTGGAGGTGGCGGCTTGAGGCACCGTGTCGCAGAAATGAATTCAAGACCCGCTGCAGCCATGGTTCGTGCAACTCAACACAAGACGTTGCTGGTCAGCTGCGAGAATGACTTGGGTCAGCAGGCTCTGGACAGATGTGATGTAGACTTCCTTTGCACACAGTGACTGCTTGAAGATATGCACCAAAGAATCCGCAGTGGGCAAGCCAGTTGCAAGCTCGGCACCAAGGTTTCACCGACCAGCAAGGGGTTGCTGTCGGGCTGGCCGGACCCAGGCCCGCCATCCATGTCCGCGCAAAGCACATAATAGGAGCCCTGGCGCTATTTCATCGCAGCTCAGTCTGCTCTCTTGCACGCGATTGCGCCCTTCCCGGCCTCGATCAGCAAGCTGGTGTCCAAGGTCAGAGACCAGTCACTGCCACTCGCCTGAAGAAAGCCGTTCTCCGTGTTCTCCTCCCCGTTGGCGTCGACTTCGGGAGCCCCGCCACTGCACAGGGATTGCACGGATTGCAAGGACAGGTAACTTTGGTGCCACAGCACCTTGAGAGTGGCAAGAGTTACAGACAACTGCAAATTACGGACAACTTTGGCGTGGGTCAAAAATAGGTAACCAAAATGGAACCCCGGTAAATGGAAACATGGACTAGAACCTGCAGTCCCCTGGTTGAATTTTGACCCATACCCACTTTGGCGTGGGCTTGGGGACATAGACCCTTGGATCCACTTCCGCACCCTTTTCCTCGAACTTCTCCGCCGGTCAGTTGGTCTAGTTGCTAAAACAATAAGTCCCTGACAGAATAAGCAATCGAGGCTTTTGCACATGTCCCAGAACACACGTTCACAAGCCAGTTTAACAAATGCTGCTAGACCCAACAAACATGATGATGCTGAATCCGATGAGTGTGCTTGGACATATCTTTCTCAAAACACATCCCATCAAGTCATGCAAAATGTTAGAACCAATCTCTACCTGTCCGTGCTCCCAAGGAAGCAGCTTTCGCTGCCCAGCCTGGTCTTTGCAAAGCCAGGGAAGCCCGCGGAGATGTCGCAGGTGAGGGCCAGGTATGCTCCGCTGCTGGTGCTGCAGCCACCCCAGATGCAAGACAGAATCAGCTCCTGCTCAAGAGATGGCCATGGGTCAAGTATCGTACCCCCAGTGAACATCCCAATCCCCTACTAAAATAGACTAAAATGGGTGGTACCATTGGTTTTGACCCACAGCCAGACGCCTCTGCTCACTCGGC